ATCTGGTCGAAGAAAGGGGTGGATTTGATGGCGTGATGATAGGCAGAGATTTGGGGCTGAGGGATTTGAGGGTTCTGATCGCCGATTTGGGAAAATTATCCAAGGGTTTGGGCCTCAGGGCAAATTCAATGATTTGCGAAAGGGAGGTTGCGCCTCGACCAAGTTGGGCCCAATTTCGAATGAGAAGGTGGACCGTAGGAGCAACATAAGAGCCCAAGCCCCAGTGGGTTATATCAGAAAGGATTTGAGGAGGTTTGGCAATGGGAGTGGTAGGCTGGGGCCTACCAGATCAGGCCCTTATCCAAAGGGGAGGATTGCTAGCCCAACGATAGAGATTGGGGCACAGATTAATCCGTCTGTTGATCAGATTTTTAGATCGTTGCGTGACGGAGTTGGGTCAAGTCGCCAAAATCTTAGTGGAGGTGAGTTGCAGACAGGCGAGTGGTAGCGCGAGCTTCACCGGAGGCGCCCAGTAGGCCGATAGCGAGCCTCGACCTTGGGCAGTTGGTGTCCGAGGAATTTGGGGTGCATAGTCCAGGAAATTGCCGATGGAGGATCCAGGGCACACTTCGCCAATTCGGTCATTGGGAGAGGAGATTCGCGGGGAGGAGCTAGTCAACTCAGGGGCGCAAAGGTCGTCTGTGGCTACGACGATGGAGAGATGGGGCAGATTCCGATGATAACCTTGGTGCTTCGACCAGTGGTGTTAGAAGCTGGGGGTTCTGGGTCGCCATACTTGGACCCAGAGTCTGAGATGGAGCTACGTGGAGATTTTGATATGGATCAACCGCCATCGTCTGAAGAGGTATCCGACTGGGTGCTCAATCGTTTATCCGAGGTTAGTAAATTTCTAGGAGTATCCTTTGAGGGTCATGAGGATGAGGCTTTGAAGTTATTTTCAGCTATTGAAGCATCATGGACAGGGGAAGGTGTGGGTGGTCAGGAAGTGTAGTTTGCTGATCAGAAAGATAAAAGGGTTCGGGAGTTGCGGAGACTAGAGTGTTCAATAAATTATGATCGAAACAAGCGAGGCGAAGACCGACGATTAAGAAAGGAGCGGGGTGGTCCCTTTTTGTTGCCATGCGTTTGAAACTTTTGACTTGGAATGTGTGGGGGTTAAATGATCGAGGTAAACAAACGGTGGTTAAGTCCTTATTGAAGAATGCTAGGGCAGATGTGGTGTGTCTCTAGGAGATGAAAACGGAGGTTGTTGAGTCGGAGTTTGTGCGAGAATTATAGGGTGGGAGGCATGTGGAATGGGCGTTCCAACCAGCTATAGAGGTGGCTAGGGGTGTTCTCATGTGTTGGGATAGTAGGGTGGTGATGAAGGAAAAGGAAGAAATAGGGGGTTTTTCCCTATCCTGTTTGTTCCGTTGCCTTGAGGATGATTTTCAGTGGGTGTTCACTGGGGTCTATGGTCCGATTCGAGAGTCGAAAAGGGCAGTCTTTTGGGAGGAGTTACAACATGTTGCATTTAGATGGGGAATGCCTTGGTGCGTTGGGGGTGATTTTAATGCTGTGAGGAGCTCGATGGAACGAACTAGTGGGAGTCAGGTGGGGAGGACTATGCGGGATTTTGCTTCTTTTATTGATGAGATGGAGCTGGTGGATCTGCCATTACAAGGGGGAGGTTATACCTGGTCAGGTAGCCGGGCGAGTTCTCGGCTGGATAGATTTTTGGTTTCTGGAGATTAGGAAGAGCACTTTTCTCAGATGCTTCAGTGTAGGCTGCCACGTCCGATTTTTGATCATTGGCTAGTCTTGTTGGATAATGGAGGAGTTCGGGGTGGTCCCTCGCCGTTTCGTTTTGAGAACATGTAGTTACAAGCAGTTGGCTTTGCTGAGAAGATGGGTGGCTGGTGGGGGAGCTATAATGTGAAAGGATCACCCAGCTACAGACTAGCTCAAAAACTGAATCTTCTTAAGTCTGATTTGAAGAGGTGAAATATAGAGGTTTTTGGTCGTTTGGAGGTTCAGAAAGCAACTATTCTATCAGTCTTACAAGGGTTGGATAAGAAGGAAATTCAGGGGAACTTCTCTGAGAAGGATGTGGCAAATAGGGAAGTGGCTCGTGGAAACTATGCGAGGATGGAGGAGATTAGTTTTTGGCAGAAATCTCGATGCTTATGGTTGAAGGATAGGGATCGTAATACAAAGTTTTTCCATCGCATGGCCAACGCTCATCAACGGGTGAATCAAATAGGGCGAATGCAGGTGAATGGGGTGTAACTATCGTCAGAAGAGGATGTTAGGGCTGATATAGTGGGCTTCTATCAGCATCTTTTCCGTGATGAGGGAGATATGTGGAGGTCGGGGTTGGATGGTGTGGTGTTTGACTCTATTTCTGAGGCAGATGGGCTGTTGTTGAAGAGATCTTTTACTGAGGAGGAGGTTTTGGGTGTGTTGAGGAGTTTGTCTGGGGATAAGCACCGGGCCCGGATGGCTTCTCCATTGCTTTTTTCCAGCACTGTTAGGGGGTGGTGAAAGGGGAGGTGTTGGCTATGTTTGAGCAGTTTCATCAAACTGGACAGTTTGAGAGTCTGAATGCAACATTTCTAGCTTTGATCCCTAAAAAAGGGGCAGCGGAGGATGTCGGAGACTTTCGGCCTATCAATCTTCTAGGAATGCTTACAAATTATTGGCCAAGGTTTTGGCTAATAAGCTTCGGGGTGTGCTAGAGGGAGTGGTGTCAGAATCACAGAATGCTTTTGTAGGCGGTCAACAGATTTTGGATACTGTTCTGGTGGCTAACGAGTGTGTGGATTCACAGCTTCGGCAGGGAACAGTGGGAATAATTTGTAAACTAGATATAGAGAAAGCTTATGATAATGTAAATTGGAAGTTTTTGCTGTACATGCTAGGGCAGTTGGGTTTTAGGGAGCGGTAGAGGAGGTGGATACATTTTTGTAATTCTACTGTTCGAATGTCTGTTCTGGTTAATGGGACATCGGCGGGTTTCTTCCCTCCTCGGAGAGGATTACGGCAGGGAGACCCTTTGTCCCCTTTATTGTTTATTCTGGTTATAGAGGCGTTGAGTCGGTTGATTTCTAGGGCGGTCTAGGGAGGTTTTTTATCGAGCTTTGAGGTGGGGGTTGGGTCTGCCTCTCTGGTGGTTTCTCACCTTCTCTGTGCTGATGATGCTTTGATTTTTTGTGATGCAAATGCTACTTAGGTTGGCCATTTGAGGTGTGTTTTGTTATGTTTTGAGGCGGTGTCGGGTTTGCGGGTTAATTTGGCAAAATCATAATTGATCCTAGTAGGTGAGGTGGTTTGTCTACCGGCCATTCTAGGCTGTAAGGTGGCACGGTTACCAATTTCCTATTTGGGACTTCCTTTGAGGGTTTCCTTTAAGCAGACATGCTTGTGGGATGGGGTGATGGACAGGGTTCAACGGAGGTTGGCAAGATGAAAGCACTACTATTTGCCAAAAAAGGGGCAGATTACTTTGATCAAAAGTATTCTCTCTAATATTCCGATGTACTTTATATTATACATGTGTTGCCTGCAGAGGTGGCAAAGAGATTGGAGAGGTTGCAACGGGATTTTTTATGGAGTGGGGGTGGGGAGGGTTTTCATTATTATTTGGTGGATTGGGAGAAGGTTTGTACTTTGAAGGAAAAGGGGGGGTTTGGGTGTGCGGAAATTGACGATCTTTAATCGAGCTCTATAGGGAAAGTGGTTATGGCGTTTCGTGTGGAAACTGGAGCGGCTCTGGAGGAGGCTGGTGGTGGCGAAGTACAAGGAGGAGAGGGGGGGTTATGTTCGAAGCCGGTGGCTCAACCTCATGGTCGTTGGTTGTGGAAGGGGATTTGGTCAGGGAGGGAGGTTTTTTGGGAGAGGGCTCAATTTAATGTGGGGGTAGGCGATAGGGTTTGTTTTTGGCAGGATCGGTGGTGTGGTGGGTTGTCTTTGGTAGCTATGTTCCCTTTGATTTATGCTATTGCCACTGATGGGGAGGAGTTGGTTGCCTCAGTTAGGGTGAAGCAAGGGCAATTAGCTGTTTGGAATGTTCGTCTTCGGCGTGATGTACAGGATTGGGAGTTAGACCAATTGGTGGATCTTCTAGGCTTTTTGTATGGGTTGCAAAGTGGGGGGGCTGGGGTGGATGCTTTGGCATGGGATGTTCGGAGTTCTAAAGGAGTTCTCTCCGTGTCTTCATTTTATGGGGTGCTTGCAGGGGTGCTGGTGGTGTGTTTCCTTGAAAGTGTATTTGGGCGGTGGGATCTCCTTTCAAGGTAGCTTTTTTTGTCTGGACTGTTGTTTTGGGTCATATTCTTACCATTGATAATTTGATTCGGCGGCGACATGTGTTGGTCAATTGGTGTTGTTTGTGATGTAGAGATGCAAAAACGGTAGATCATTTACTGGTGCAGTGTCCAGTGGTGTCTCGCCTTTGGTGTATAGTTGTTGCTCTTTTTGGATTGGTTTGGGTGTAACCGAGGTCGCTGTTAGATGTGTTGCTTAGTTGGGGTGGGGCTAGGGTGGGTAAGAAGCGACGGAAGGCTTGGTTACTTGCTTCCCATTGCTTTGTGTGGTTGGTTTGGATGGATCATGGAGCGCAATCAACGTGTTTTTCAAAACACGTCTCATTCATATCTTTGGTTAGAAAGTCGGCTTCTTTTGGTGTTGCATAGTTGAATGACAGGTTCAATTGATCCTAATGTGTTGATTTTTGTACATTTTGTGGAGGATTTGCTTAGATAGTGAGCTTTGCGGCTGTGATAGGTTGCTTTTTTTCCTTGTATTCTTTGCATCGTCTTGATGCTTTTCTAATAAAATTATTTATTTATGAAAAAAAAAAAAAAAAGCCAACAACAATGGCATTCCTAGTTGGAGATAAATCCAATTCAAGAAGCAAAAGAAAAGAGAATGAAGAAAAAGATAAGGAAGAAAAAAAAAATGAAAAACTCCCGTCATCTAGTTTCTTTTTTCCAAGAGCCTGATTGCAAAGTAAAACAAGAAATGAAAGAAAAATACCGATTGTAAAATTTAAATCATACCGAATAGTTGTGAATTTGCCGAATGCTCGTGCCAGGCTTGCAAAGGTCCAGACATTCCTTGTTTGTCTCTAGAATAAGATCATAAAGTTCTTCCTAAAATGTACATATTGCAATTGTACACCTCATTTAGTAATTCCATTTGTCAGTAGGAGAAAAGAATATATCAAGACAAATAAAAAACAAAAACAAAATGATTGGAGAAGTTTTTCTGCAGAATACTCTTGAAAATTTCAGCACATGTAAACAATTAAAAGGAGTAAAAATGGGCACTTTTTCAACTTATAATTTCTATAGCCTACAATGCAAGTTAGAGAATAAAACCTTAGGTATAGATATTGAAGAACAATGACAAATAAATTTTTTTAAATATGTCATGTCGTGTTAGAACTACAGTTCAAATTGAGTAAAACCGATCCTTATATGTCATGTATTTTTAAGAATAATGACTAATAAATTTTTTGACATATATCAGAATAGTCCATTACAAGACAAGTTTTGACTGCCAGCATTTTATACTGCAATGCCCGGTTAATTGTAGAATCTTATAAAAAAATTAAAAATAAATAATAAAAAAAATCTTTAAATTTAATGAAACAACCTCAATCACAACATCCTAAAAGAAATTCTATACTTCCATTTTCTAACTCTGTGATCAGTCCAAATTAACCAAAATGTTAAGCCTTAATTATCTGTTTCAGTTTTAACAGCTCATTTACACCAAATTTTACTAGAATAAGATTATATTCCTTCCTCAGGACTAGGATCCTGTTTATCTGCCTAAAGAGGCAGAAAAGCAGGGAATTATGCAGCTCTCTTCTCTCTCTTGCAGGCAAGTAATTTTGAAGGTCAACTTTGAAGAAAGTGTGCATAGGAGCTTATGAAGGAAGGTCCTGGTTTCAAAACATGCCTAAGTAATAATTGGTGGTCTTTCAAGGTTAGGTCCTTGGAAAGCAAAAGTAAGAAGTCTCATAGATTTGCTGAGTGAAACCAAAAGTTGGTTCCAGCAGGAGAGCATATTTTCGGTAAGATGCCTAGAATAGGAGCCACGCTGTCAACGAAATTGTTAAAACCTACCACTACCACCTACTACACACCTACGACTACCACCTAATACCACCTACTCCACCTACTACCTACCTACCTACTATTCTCTTCTATATATAGGAATCATTGTAAACATATTTGATCATCAATCAATAATACATCAATTTTAACATGGTATCAGAAGGTTAAGCACTTAGTATTTTTCGCTTCACCGGCGGGCGGCAACCTCGCCTTGGCCGCCCGCCGGACCTCAACCTAATCCGCTAGAATTTTCTACACATACCTTCACTCCGCTGCCACAAATTCCATAACTGAACTGCACTCTTGTCTCTCTGAGGGAATAATCAACACCTTCACACCAGTGAGGCCGTGGATATGGATCACAGGTCCGTCTATGTTGTAGCTTTTATCTGCATTGTCGTCGCCGGCGTTGGAGGTCAATCTCTGGCCACACCTCCTGTGGTGTCCGCTCCACCGGTTTCAGCTCCACCACCCCACTCCACCTCCGGCTCCTCTATCACCAGCTACTCCGTCCGGCAACATTGCCTTCGCTGCCCGCTGGAGTTTTCAATACACACAGCATCTCTTATTGGGCATCAATGGAACTCCAAGTGCTTCTGCAACCATCTCTCTTGTTGAGCATGGAGCGATTCTATGTAGAGCATTTGACACAAATGAACACACCCAGAAATACACCAGCTGCATGTGCTCTCTCTCTCTCTCTCGGGTTGGAGGTGAGAAACAGAGTTAAGTACAAAATAAAAATAAAAATAAAAATAAAAATAAATAAAAAAAGGGAAAATAGCCACACTGATCCTCAGCTTTTACTTTTCTTCTCCCACCATTTCACGGTTCCCATTGCAGAATTACTGCCATAATAACCCACACAGCACACCATGCGTTGGAGCCATAATCCAGAGCACTTTCTTTTATTTTAATATATATATATATGTTTTTTTTATAATATTTTACTCAAAGCTCCAAGTACTCCACTCAAATGGGTTTATCTTAGCTTGCTCAGATGCTATCTCAATGGAAAGTTTTCACTTTTTTGACTAAAGCCACCGCCTTACACACAACCACTTTTTTTTTTTATTCCTTTTATCATCATCATCATGTACCCCACTCTCTCTCTCTCATTTTTTTTTCACTTTTCAACCCACCAGCGCACATGCTTTCCTCCTTAATATATTATTATTATTATTATTATTATTATTATTATTATTATTATTAAACCCACCAAAAAAAAAATAATAAATAAATACCGAACACCATTGCCGATTTTCACAAAACAGTGGGACAAGAAACCACGTGAACCACTTTCCTTATTTCCCCCATCTTTTATTTTGATTTCAAGTATATTCTTATTATTTCTTTCTTTAATTTTCTTTCACATTATTTTTAATCTTTTTCAAATTCCATTCATACCATCTAGCTTTGCACACCAAACCATCTTTTATTCATCTCAGGGATCAACCCCGATCACAATTTTACACACACAAAATGATATGTTTTCAAGTTCCTGAGGCTAAAATCTTTGCATTCGATGGCATCGAATGTTTTAGTCCTCCCAAGATGAATTTTTGGCTTGTTTCCTTTGTGTTTGGCAATGCCGTGATCAGTTAATACTTGCTGAGGTGAAAGATTACCTGCTTATAGGAGTCATTGATACCTCTTTCTTAACACGGTCTCTTCTTCTTGCCTCCGTCCTGAGCGGCCCTTGACGGTGCTGCCTCCGTGTTTTCCACGCCACCGAGCACGTTCACTCCCCCATACTCCTCCACTGCAGCATATGGCGGACCTCCAAATCGGAACATCACGGTGGCCTTCCGCTTCAGCTCCTTATTTTCCGCCTTTAGCACACTTATCTCTGCTCGCGCATCCTTATACATGCGTTGGAGCAGAGCCAATTGGGCGTTTAATTGTTGCACCTCATTTGTCCTACTCTGAAGCCGGTGCGACAAGTTTGTGACCGCAGTTATGGTCTCCACACATGACTTCAAAGTATACTGATTGGCCTCAATATCAGTTTGCACCGCCATTTTTTGCTCCACAGACAGCATCGGAAAGTTCAACGGAGCAAACCCAGAGGCGCTTGGTTGAGGTTCCAGGGCCACCGCACCAGTTATTTCTCTTGTGGACTCGTTGAGGTCTGGAAAGAGAGTGAGCAGACCACGGGAAGAAGAGGCCATTTTCTGGGCAACAGAGTGTTATAGAGTTTCTCTCTCAGAAAATGCAGAGCTCTTCAGAGGTTTTTTTCGCAAGTTTTTTGTCTTCGCCTCAGCCTCAGCCTCAGCCTCCGTCTTGGTTAAATAGCCAAGGCAGCCACGCGCATCATGCGCCGCTCGGCGCTCGACGACAACATGGGCGCGCCTTTTGATGGCACGCCTTTTTATGGATTGGGCACGCCTTTTGATGGCACGCCTTTTGAAAGCTTGGGCACACCTTTTGAGGGTGCGACTTTTCCAACGGTCCGACATGACCCCATAAACTGTCCCGACATTGATTCCGGTTAGCTTCTCCAACGGTCCGACATGACCCCATAAACTGCTCCCGACATTTGATTCCGGTTAGCTTTTACAACGGTCTGACACGACCACACAATGTCTGCTACATCAGTCCGGCATGACCTTGTAAACTATCCCGACATTGATTCCGGTTAGCTTCTACAACACCATTTGGGCGGATGGTGGTGATTTGGACAGAGTGAGAGTGAGAGTTGGACGTTTTCACCGGAATGGCAGCGGCAGACTTCCGACATGGCTATGACGGTTTTAGGGCTGCTGTGTTTTTTGTTGCTCTGATACCAACTTAGAAAATATGAAGAAGAAGAACTCCGAAAATATGAGGAAGAAGGAATATATTTCTGTTATATTCAAAACTTCTTATCTTACAAGACCAAATGACACTCCTTATATAGGAGATATTACAAACATCATCATAACCCATTATATGCCACTTACATATTATATATTACCACTATCTACCACTATCTTATTATATACATGCCACTATCTACCACCAACACCACTATCATATTCTATACATGCCACTATCTACAACCAACACCACTATCATATTCTATACATACCACTATCTACCACCAACACCACTATCATATTCTATACATGCCACTATCATATTATATGCATGAACACAATTTCCAGCAAAAATGATTGGAGAAGTTTTTCTGTAGAATACTCTTGAAAATTTCAGCACATGTAAACAATTAAAAGGAGTAAAAATGGGCACTTTTTCAACTTATAATTTCTATAGCCTACAATGCAAGTTAGAGAATAAAACCTTAGGTATAGATATTGAAGAACAATGACAAATAATTTTTTTTAAATATGTCATGCCGTGTTAGAACTACAGTTCAAATTGAGTAAGACCGATCCTTATATGTCATGTATTTTGAAGAATAATGACTAATAAATTTTTTGACATATATCAGAATAGTCCATTACAAGACAAGTTTTGACTGCCAGCATTTTATACTGCAATGCCCGGTTAATTGTAGAATCTTATAAAAAAATTAAAAATAAATAATAAAAAAAATCTTTAAATTTAATGAAACAACCTCAATCACAACATCCTAAAAGAAATTCTATACTTCCATTTTCTAACTCTGTGATCAGTCCAAATTAACCAAAATGTTAAGCCTTAATTATCTGTTTCAGTTTTAACAGCTCATTTACACCAAATTTTACTAGAATAAGATTATATTCCTTCCTCAGGACTAGGATCCTGTTTATCTGCCTAAAGAGGCAGAAAAGCAGGGAATTATGCAGCTCTCTTCTCTCTCTTGCAGGCAAGTAATTCTGAAGGTCAACATTGAAGAAAGTGTGCGTAGGAGCTTATGAAGGAAGGTCCTGGTTTCAAAACATGCCTAAGTAATAATTGGTGGTCTTTCAAGGTTAGGTCCTTGGAAAGCAAAAGTAAGAAGTCTCATAGATTTGCTGAGTGAAACCAAAAGTTGGTTCCAGCAGGAGAGCATATTTTCGGTAAGATGCCTAGAATAGGAGCCACGCTGTCAACGAAATTCGGTAAACCAAAAGTTGGTTCCAGCTGGACGGCATATTTTCAGTAAGATGCCTAGAATAGGAGCCCTGCTGTCAATGAAAATTGCCCACTTCCTGCATGACATTCTGGTGCAGCATGGAGCGAAGTTGCTATAGGTTCCAATTTAATCAGGAATTTTGAGTAACTATATAGCATGGTTGTTTTACAGAGGCCTTATTTGTTGAGATACAAAGGGGAGTAATGACATAACTAACTGGAAAAGAATTTCAAGAATTTCAAACAGCTTGTTCTGCATTAAATAGTTATACCAGAAGCTATTTTCCCGAAGGCTACTGTTGTTTGCAGGCTGAGCTTATGTGGCATCATTCCATTCGCTCCAAAGTTGCTATCCTTTTCTTGGACTGCGGGGAAAGATATAATGTTCTCCTATGGATAACTAGTTATATTTAAACTTCCAAATAACTGTATTTATCACCAAAAAAAAAACTTCCAAATAACTGCATTATGTGAAAGAGAGATGCTGAATCAGTTTCCCAGCTGCTAGATATGTGGAAGATTTTTTTCTTCAGTTTGCCATTTCTTCGGTGATGCCAATAACATTATGGAAATTTCAGGTTGGTCAATTAATAGAAGTAGCAGTAGTAAGCTTCATTGGAAATTGGCACCTCTTGCATTCTATGGTGCATTGGAAGGAGGAAACAAAAGGATTTCTTTTTTTTTTTCTTTTTTTTCCTGATAAGTGGAAACAAGAGGATTTTCAAGGATAGGAAACTTCTGGTTTTCAAGTTACAACAGAGTGCTATAAAATTTCATATATGTAGGCAATGGCTTTGGGCAATTGCATGGTCTTACTTTTGCAACTTCTGTTATTTTGTTATCTTACCTAACCTGTCTAACTCACGTGTACTTGGGCTTATAATAATAATAATAAAATCTTACAAATTATATATAAATTTACGTCTATTTTGCCATTAGGGGCCATTGCTTAGTGCAATGCTTAGTGTGAGAGAGCACAGGTTCAAGTCTAAGACCAGTTACTTTGTGCAAAAATGCCAAAAGTTAGACATGTCTCAGTCCATTCCTCATAGCACCTTCAATTCACAGGGACCAGTCATCCACCACTGTGAATAGACTATTTTTTTTAATCAGAACTAAGATTTTGATTATATGAGAGAGAGAGAGAGAGAGAGAGAGAGAGAGAGAATCAAGTACATACATGAACAGGAGAAAACCTTCCACATGGCGGCCATGTACGAGTGAGGTCACTAACATAACCATGCAATTCACATCCAATGTCCATCAAAACAAGGTCCCCGTCTTGGACCTGTCAAAACAAATCACAAAATTATCTCTAAAAAAGATTGCGTTTATACAAGAAAACATTTGCCGCTTACAATCAACAAACTTACTTTCTGGTCATTTCGAGAATAATGTATAACACTACCATTAGGCCCACCACCAACCACAGGATTGAATCTGTCAGAAGGAAAATGAAGTTTGTAAATCAGAAGTATAGTCCTTGCTTACAATACAATGGCAAAGCAGAAATCAGTGGAACTTTATTTCATTCATGCCAACATCTTGAAGTAAAACAATAAGACACAAGAAATGGGTGGAAGAGGGCAACAACAATGCTGAAAGGGTGCACAAATCCTATCTCTGCCTTTCAAAGTTTGAAAAGATCTATTTAAGGAGAAAGGCTTACGCCATTCTTTGGGCACCTCTCATTTTACATTCATATTCAACTTTAGCTGACAGCCTAGCCTCACAAGGAAATGTCTTGGAATGCAACATTGTTTGTAAAAGAGCCTATCCAAGACAAAGAAAAATATATCAGTAAGTATTCAACAACAAATTATCCAATTAAATTCACATAAATCCATTCTGTTAAAACAAAACAAAGAAGAAGAGCTAACACATCCTAAAATTCAGTGCACAAAAAAATTTGATGGCTCATCTCCATGAAGTTAGTGATAACGGAAACATTTTAAGCATTGAACGTCTGATTTTTTTTTTCATATAATCTTGGGAATTGTGATCCTAAGAGAGAATGGTTAAGGAACATGGATCCTATTCTAAAATGAAAAGAATGCTGCTACAAAAGTGAATCTACAAGAAATTTCAAGAGATCCTTCATCTTTCAATTTTTAAGGAAAAATCATGTAAATAGACGTTTTATGTTACTTTGAAGTTGGAGCAAAGCTTGCCTTCAAATTGTTTGAGAGTTTAACAAATTATGAAGAGTGGTTTTCCTTCTTTTCTTGTTTTTTATTTTAGTTTCTTGACAAGTAAACTACTAAGATAGAATTTTACATGAGTTCTTTCAAGCTCAAAGATAGAATTATATAGGACAATTAATTTGTAGATTGGTGCATATATCATTATATGTCCTATGCAAGGTTTTTTTTTTTAAATTTGTGTGTGGATGTGTGTGTTTGGGGTTGTGGATATTGGGGGAGGAGTATGCCAGATACTTACTCTCTCACACACAAATCCAAGATAAGGCTATCAAATTTGCCATCAAAAGTTTTCTCATGCATAACCTAGAAACTTAGAAACTGACTGATTTTATAGTTCTTTGCTTCTTTTTTTTTTTTTTTGCTCAGAGTAATTTGATTTATAGTCCATTTGAGGGAGAAAGAATCAAGTTTATTGGAGTTTATAACTCAACTGTAACAGTGATAGTAGACATAATCCCCCTGCCCCATGCATGCACCAAAGAAGAAAAAGGAATACAAAAGCAAAAATAAAGATCTCCCTCCCTCCCTCCGTCACACGCACCTTATTACAAGGCCTAGAAAAAATTATTGAAATATCAGCAATTAGGAAAATAAACATCCATTTAAGTGCATCATAGTACATCCCCTCATCACAATTCACAAGGCCTAGAAGAATTTATTGAAATATAAGAAAATCAGGGGGGGAAATTTGACTCGGATGCATTTATTATAACCGGAACAGTAAAATGTGTACGTACCTGGCAAGCTATTGATGCAGAATCTCTCATTAACCCAAGCTCGGCCGGTGATTTTATCAATCGGGCTTCATGGGTGTAAACAGAGAGATCTTTCACTATGCCAATGGAAGCAGCTTTTTGGAAGGCCTCTAAGTCCATATAAGTAGGCAAGGCTGTTTGCTTATTATGAAACAATTTGGAGGAACTTCTTATCATATCTGGAAGGATCTGCAGCCACCAATAAATGAATAGAAATTAAATAAAGGTACAAGAGTATCTAGTGTAGAGCAAACCCTCCAAAGATCACAATATTTGGAATTTTTACAGAAATATGGGTGCAAAGGATTTATACTCAACAGATTGTATCACCATTTGTTTAACCCAATGGAAAGACCGGGCTAAAGTTGGTGTGTTTAGCAGTGACACCCGGTGTCAATGTGGTGTCCACTGCAATCTCTATTAAATACCTAAACATTGAAAATGTCAATCAAACAGTATAGTTATCTGTGTACACACGTTCAACCTAATGATTAATATGCTGATGCTCTACTAAGGTATTACTAAAAGGATAATGGTGTTGGCCCAAAGAAGGATTTCAAATGAGGGTTGAGAGTAAACTATTTTATGGTAGAAACCGATAAAGCTAGGCTAACAAGTTTCTGAAGTTTCAACCTCCCCTTCAAGAATCTGAAGCCTTACATGTGCCTTCCTCAAGATAAAATTTCTAAATTCTGGAATTTCTTTCCTTTCCAAAGCTGCCATGTAAGTAGTTTCTTATGGCATGAAACTGCGTTTTGTACATGATTCTCTCTTCCAACTTTCATTTCTAGTTTTGATGTGTGAGATGATGTTTGGGAACTTCTCTGTTCTATCCTTGCTCTCATATATCTCACGCTAACCCCATTAGATTTTAAATCCGAGGATCTTCGATTTGTTGTGTTCACACATGGCACCATTCCAGACAGTCGACTCCATAGCCCTATATGCATTATTCTCTTGTTTCTGTAGCATTTTTTTGTGAGCTTACATTCTTTCTTACTTCCTGTTAGATCCTTACTTTCCACATGACTGACATGTGGGAACTTCTTTGTTCTATCCTTGCTCTCATATATCTCATGCTAACCCTATTAGATTTGAAATCCGAAGATTGTGTTCACACATGGCACCATTCCAGACAGACAACTCCATAGCCCTATATGCATTATTCTCTTGTTTCTATAGCACTTTTTTGTGAGCTTACATTCTTTCTTACTTCCTTTTAGATCCTTACTTTCCACATGACTTGACATGTGGTACTCCATTACGTTTATTTGCCTACAATAATAGATTATCCCTATGCCAGTATATGCCAACAGGCATGATAATATCTATCAAAGCAAGCATGTTCACTCATTATTTCTCCCTCAATCGAACTCTTCCATTTGATTCTACATTTCTATAATTGGAATACATGCTAAGAAAAAGCTATGATGTTAAGAAACTATTAACATTATAATAAGTAGCATGCTTAGTTGAATAGTAATTTAAGGATTTAATTAACATTTTATATATATATATATATGTGTAAGCTAAAGAGTTTGTCAAATTTGAGTCTCTTCATATGAGAAAAGTGACCTACGCCGTGTCCTCTAGGGATTTTAATTAAGTAGCATGCTATAGCGTTGCATTTGATTTATTATTCTTCATTTCCTAATTGATTTAGCAATGCTAGTACCTTCTTTAGGACATTTGATAATTCTTTATCTTCTCGTTTTTTTAGCAATGCTAACATGATTAACTAGAGGACCTTTTATAGGACATATATTCTCTGTAATTTCTTAAGAGCATTTCCATAGTCTTAGTGCACTGTATGTGCTATTAACAAAAGAAATTTCATTCCACTGGGAATGCGATATTCCCCAATTGGCAGGTATTTCACTCCACCAGGATAACATTTTCAGAACGAAACCTTAAGAATGAGGGGGTCTGGTGCCATCTTAAACTCATTGTTCAAATAAATAGCCGATCCAAGTCTAAGTCAAGAATGAAGCACACTTTTCCAGCATCCATACAATATTGTGAAGTAATAAGATGTTAATGACTCCATGTCGCTCTTGTATTGTATCATTCTAGTACCGTGATACAACTAGTGAGTCATTGGCTCCTGGCCAGTTTAGGCACCAAAAGAGCAAACATACTCTCATCCCTCTAACTAGATATCTGTCCTTTACCAAACACACAAGCAAATGTCAAAAAAGTTATGTTCTGCTCAAAACAATTTGATAAAGTCATGTGTTTGTCCCAACTACTCGGGCTTGGCTACATGAATCCAGTTTTTCATTCCACTCAATAATGGGTCATACTTTTAGTTAAACCACAAGCTCTCTTGTCTTTCTTTATTTTCTCAACCCACGTTAATTTTGTTTCCTCTCATCTCCTAACCTTACCTGGAAAATGGACAATGTTACTCTTGCTAAATGGTGCAGTGACTACAGTCTTTGTTATACATGACCAAACTATCTTAATCAATGTCTCATTTTATTTTCAACCAGTGCTACCTCTACCATCTCAGAATTTTGTTCATTCCTAATCCTATCTTTTCTAGTTTATCCATACATCCACTTCAACACCCTCATTTCCACTACACTCATTTTGTGATTTATTGATTGTTTAACATTTTATAACATAAGCACAGATGGTCTTATAGCCACCTTATAGCATTTCCTTTTAATCTCATGGGCATGTGTTGATCATGAAAGATACCAGAAGCACTCTACATATACACCCTACCTTAATTCTTAGTCTAGAACTCATTGCACCCTATATGGTAACAAACAAAACCTTAAATTTTATTCCTAAATAACAAACTTTTCAAAACATGAAAATTTAGCAATATCATTCCAAAAACCAACAATGAGAATATTAATTAACTCATATCAATTAAAAGCGACTATTTTGTGAGTCCAATATCAACTTGAAATTTTAGAAAGCAAAGTGGGATTCAGGTTCCAATACAATTCCCAGAAAAGCATGAAGGCTTATAATTTCCGGAAATTATTGATCTATGTTTAGGATTTAAAAGTCATCTTTACAAGAAGATTCACAAGCAAGAAGTTTTGACACCCTTCAGAGTTAATACTTTTAATTAGTTTCACTTTCTAAATAAGTTCATATATTAATGCTTTACAGGCTAGTTTGTAGTAATTTCATTTCAAAACATTATACGTTTGAGGAAATTGGGTCCTACAGTTACCATGGTGGTTGGTCTTGTTTCCAAAGGATCTTACTTGCCTAGAGAATTCTATAAAGCTAACGAACAAAGTCCTACATGCCAAACAGGATTAGATTAAAAGTTGAAAGTTAATTTAGTTAAGTTCAATTGATTGAAGATAAAAATTCTTCTACTAAGTTGACCATTTGTGCTTGTCTTCTTGTACTTATTGTTTAAACCACAACCAACCTTTTTGCCCCCCAATCTTGCAAAACCCTTCTTTCTTGACCTAAACCTCAGCTGCTTCTCAACCTCTACTCAAACACCCAATGCACTACATAGATGGCAGTCCAATTACAGCAAGCTGCATCCTTGGGTCCAGCACTTATTACCATCAAATGCTCAGCCTCACCATATTCAATCCAACACTTTTCCTTATTTTTCTTCATCTTCAAAATGCTTAAATGAACAAATAATTGTAAACAACATTAGTTTGAATTTTGAAGTTTTTGCCTTGCATCCTCTCTGCCATGAACTAGCTTAAACCAGGTAAAAGATATTTTGCCTTTGCCTCGTGCTAATTATAGCTATGGAAGTCATTGTGTCAACATAGTATTGTTGCAAGTTACAACTCAATTATTTTCCAGCTTCAACATACCAAATTAAAAATAAATAACAAACTTACCTCATGTAATTTGTTCATTGGATATGATTGTTCAGCCTTGAATGTGTCTAAAGCTGCATCAACTCCAGCAATTTGTCCTTGCCAAATAACATCCTAAAGTATTCAATAAATGATTAGTCAGATATCAAGTTGTTGCTTTTCATTACTCACATAATGATTGGCAGAGAAAAGACATCTTTTCTCGTTTTTCAGTAGATTCTAAGTGAAATACAACCTTCATTTGCAGTGTAGAATTATCACAAGTGCAAGCTCTTGTGTCATATATTTTAAAAAATACAATTTGATGAGAAATAAAAAATAATTTTAAAAATGCCCTTTCAATGTTTGAATAGAAGTTATGTTATTAAGGAAGTAACATTGATTGAAGTAACCTATTAAGTATCAATAATTCTATGTACACCAAATATATATATATATATATGCAATGTGTGGCCCAAATTCATTTTGAGTGTGTTCTCCACAACACCTGGAATGAATTTGGACCACACATTGAATTCTCTATGCACATTTCTGTGATTTTTTTCTGTACACAGCATTAGTGCTTAAGTACTCCTACTTTTCCAGGTAAGCAATATATTATTCAAAATCAGAGTATGTAGTATTTCACAAAAACAAAGAACAATATAATCCAGAATGAAAAATATAGTTGAATCAAAATACTTAAAGAACAATATTAGTTGCAAAATATGGCCCAAACCAAAGGCAAAGATTTTATTACATATGTATATGAAGGATAAATAAAAATCCTTGTATCATACAATTACTTAACAAAAGAAAAGACAAGAAAATCGTATCATAGAAATCTGGCCATACATGAGGTCTTGTTTCCGGCATAAACATGCATAAACCAAATTCATGACCTAAGACTGCTACACCACCAGGCTGTTGGCAGCCAGTAATGTATAAATAATCAGCATCCGGTCGATATGTGTAAGGCACAACATCGGTCATCATCTTTACAGGGGCAGCTGCAACTATAGCCAAACTCTTATCCGGTAGAATCTCCAGTAATCTCTTCCTTCTCAAGATATATTCTTCACTAGTTATGCCAGGTGTGATTTCCCCTTCCTTGAGAAACTATAATCGTAGAAAAGGGCAATTCTAGTAAGTAAATGATAAATGGACCTCACTAAACAAACCAGACTGGAATGATAGATGTTGAGTAGCAATAGCAATACCTGAGGGTGAGAAGCAGGAGTAGGCTGCCCTACGTCAGGGACATTCTTGGTCGAGTACAGACAACGTCTAGCTACCTATTTATCCAATTCACCAAACATATAAATCAAATGAGCATGAATGAGTGAACACATAAACTTTTACATAAACCTAACTAAACCAAGCCTTGCGTCCCAACCAAGTGGAGTCAGCTACATAAATCATTTTTTTGTCATTCTGCTCTATCAAGGCTATATACTAGGTTAAATTAAATAAATTGCATATTCATACTAGGATTATGTTCATAAGTAATTTGACACGGATTTTTAACATACAAAACTACTCCTTTATCCGGGACTTGGGACCAGCTATATAACAGATTAAACACTAAGCACAACACAGGCAAATTTTATACACTTTCACATCAAGATTCAAAAAGTTGAATCAAAATTTGCACAATTCAAATGAAACCCACTACTTGTTTGGCAAGATTAATGGACTACAATAACAAGCATCTCAACATCCACTCATACAAGTTAGGAAATGGAAAAAAAGAAAAAGCAATCTTCCATTAAAACCCACAAAAATTTACATTTTGAAATCACACCCAGAAAAACAATAATATGAAAACACAAACATATAGATATAGATACACATGATTGGAGGTAGAGGAAAGTACGAACTCGATTAAATGGTATCCTCTGAAGCAACTTTCTTCGGAGAGTCTGCATTGTAACCTCCTTGCCCCTCCACGAATCTCGTGAACTTGGCTCCTACGTATATATATATATATGTATGGCACATACAATCCTCGTAGCAGAAATCTACTGGTTATGTTCTTGTCCTTGTTCTTGTGCAGTATTCTAAATGGAGTAGTTAGGGTTTTGGGCCCCTGGGATCTCTGAATTTGCTTAATCGCTCCTTGTATTTACCCCAAATCACTTCTCTACAGTAGTTAGAAAAACCAGGGGGCAGAGTTCGAAATACACAAATGACAGCAATTTATAGGGTTTATTTTACTTTTATTTCTCAAATTATCATTATTTTTTCTATTTTGTCCTTATACTATTTTACTTTTATTTCTCAAATTATCATTATTTTTTCTATTTTGTCCTTATACTATCAATTTCATCCTATTCTCAAAACAAAAAAACAAAGGAAAATTTACCCATAAGTCCTAGTTTCTGAAAAGTTGAACCATTTAGTCTTAAAAGTTTTCTTATGCTCCATTTAGTCCCATTTGCACATCAATCTAATGTTCGAAACATTAATCTGATGTTCGAAATCTAATGTTTGAAACATTAATCTGATGTTTGAAACATTGTAATGGGACCTTTCAGTCTATAAAAAAAAATTTAGGACTAAACAGTATATAAATTATTAATTTGAGATTTATTGGTGCATCCCCCAAAAACAAAAACTGGCCTATTTATTTTTTAAAATTTTTTACTTATATTTATATGGTCCAATTAGAGAATTGTGCAAATCAGTTGGATCTTTATTTGACAAGTAGAAAGATATTTATATAATTTGAACTACTAAACATCTACTAAATTGGCAAATGGAGTATAGTTTGTTGTAAATAGTAAGAAAATTTAAATTTTTTTTTTTTATGGTTGAAGTAGTTCAAATTCTAAAATAATATTTTTTTAAAAATTATGTTTCAACGATTATTGATTTGTATAATCGGATCAGAACATTTGAATAAAAATTACAAATTTTAATAACTAAATAAATGAAATTAATCAGTTGGATCTTTGTTTCTAGTTTTTTGAAAATACATTTCAGAAAATTCCCACTTGTTTATTTTTCATATTTTTTGGTTCTTATAGAGTTTTTTTTTTAATATTTTAAGCAATTTTTAAAATTTTTAGACACGCCTAACATAAATACACTTAAAAGATATAATTTTCATGAAAAAAATATTTTAAAAATTCACCAAATACCAAAAACACAAAAAAAAAAAAAACAACAACAACAACAACAAATTCAGTATATTTTCATGTTTTTGTGTGTTTATTAATTTTTTAAAATATTTTTCCACAAATATTTTACTTTTTAGATACATCTAGGTAAGGCGCATTTAAAAAAATATAAATGCTTAAAATTTTAAAAATATTCACTAAAAATAAAATAAAAAACACGAAAAACAAAAATTAAATTTTTAAAAAACTAAATTCAGAAAACTGAAACCAACACACTAAATAGTAGTTTGGGGCATAAAAGCGAAATTAAGCATTCAGCAAGACATTAAAAATAGACTATCAAATAAATGGTGTGCGGAGAAAATAGTAATAACATTTCAATGAAAATTTTCTGAATTTTCAACAAACATGAAATGACGGAAATTTTCTTTAAAAGGGATGTAATCAAACACCCTTGCTTAAAATACAAATTATTTTTCGTGGTTTAAAAAATTACAAACACTCTTTTGTCAAAATTTCTTATTTAACATAGTTAATTGAAAAAAAATAAAATTTGAGTAATGTTAGGGATTCCAAATATTTTACCAAATGTTCTACCAGATATCTCACATGAGTGTAGAACCCATATGAGACTCACATAATGTGGGTCTCACACTCATGTGAGACATTTGATAGAATATTTGATAAAACATTTGGAATCTCTAACATTTTTCTTAAAATTAATAATTTTTTTTCTATATAATAATAAAATTACTTGAATTATTAATTGAAATATATTTCTAACATCATTAAAGACTGTTAATTAACTTGATAAATTATTATTAAAAGGGGTCATTTATTATGAAATTAAAAATTTCTCGGAGTATGATATAATTTTTAAAATCACATGAGACAATTTGTATTTCAAGCAAATTTCAAAAGTATATTTGTAATTTACCCAAAATTTTATTGAAAACCTTACTAAAAACACCTGTGTCCAAACATTATCTGGAGTTTTCAAAAATAATTTTTTTAAATTATGGAGTGCAAAATAAATTCCAAGACCCCTACTTCAGTCTGTGGAGTGGAAAATTTGATTTGGAATTTTCAAAAATAATTTTTTTTGAATTTTTAGTGGTTTTTTTAAAATATTTTAATCATTCTTTTTATTTTTTTATATACTTAAAAAGTATAAAAATTCATTGAATATAACAAAATATGAAAATATATTTAATTTTTATATTTTTAGTATTTGGTGATTATTTTAAGTATTTGTTCACAAATATTATGTTTTTCAAGTGTATCTATATTAGGTATATTTAAAATAAAAAAAAATAAAATAAGTGAAATATTTTAAAAATTCATTAAAAACAAAAAAAAATCCAGAAGATAAAAAAGTGAATTGAAAAAAAAAAATAGAGATAACCAAATAAGATGATTATTTTTTCAGAACCGATTGAGAGCTCGAATCGAGCTCCCCCGAATCCCCCGAAACGACGAAACGACGTTTCGTCGTTTTAATTTTTTTGTTTTTTTTTCAATCAGAAAATCAGAAGCAGAAAAAAGAAGACGAAGAAAGAAGAAGAAAGAAAGAAGAAGAGAAGAAGGCAGAGGCGGAGGTGGAGGCGACGGCGGCGAGGCGGAGGCGACGGCGGTCGGGCGCAGGCAGAGCCGGAGGAGCTGCGACAATCGGGCAAGCTGCGACGATGGGACGATCGGCCGGAATGCAGGGGCCTCTGTGTGTGTGTGTGTCTCCATTCCCTCTTCTCTCTTCTCTCCCTCGCTCTCCCTCTCTCTCTCTCTCTCTCCCTCTTCCTCTCCCTCTCCCTCTTCCCCCTGCGTTTGAGCTTGAAAATGGTCGAAAATGGCAGAAAAGGGGGGGTTGGATTCAGGGGAAAAAACATTTCTGTTATTTTTATTTATTTTTCAAAGCTGCTACAGAGCCTGAATGGGCAATGGCTCGAATGGCTCAAAAAAAATTTCCCTCCGAAAATATGATGCACGTAGAGCCCACATGTGCTGGTTTGGAGATCAAACAAGTAAAAGAAAAATAAAACAGAAAAGAGATGAGAGAAGAGAGAGAGAGAAGGAAACCAGCAGGGGGACATCGACGACAAAGACGAGAACGACGACCTGGGTGTTCATTGATGACCACGACAACCACCGACTTAGTGTTGACCGAAGACCGTCACTGACCACCGTCCACTTCTCTTTTCCATTCCTACACTTGCACCTTGTAAAGTAAGCTATTGTTCTGTTTTTATTATTATTATTATTTTATTTGAGATGCATTTGTAAGAGGAACAATGGATATGCCGAATTGTGTGACTTGATGTCTATAAAAAAAAAAAAAAAAAACTGGTTGTTCTGGAATTAGACCCTCGGTTAAACATCTTCCATTATATTGATGCATTCCAAGTGTTTGATGAAAGTCCCCATAGAGAAATTATGCCTGAATTTATTCTTCATTTACTTCCTAAAGTTCTTATTAGGAAAATTGTATTATGTTGGAGAATAGGCAATTTTTATGTTTAACAAAGAATAAGCAAATTGTATTATGTTTAACAGAGAAGAAACATTCACAAATTGTATTCTGTTCTGTATGGAGAATAAGCAAATTGTAAAAGAACCTTACTGATTTTAGGATATCAAAATTGAGAATGTTGTACGAAGAATTAGCAATTATGTTGGAGAATAAGCAATTAAAAGAAGCAATTTTAAAATTAGCAATTTTTAAAATAAATTGATGTTTGTTCTGTGCTGTATGGAGAACCTTAATGTTATGAAAATATTAAGTTGGAGAACCGTACTGATTTTAGGATAGAAAAATTGAAATTTTGTTCATGAACCTTACTGATAATATTAAGTTAAGATTTGCATTAAATTATCATCTCACTACATTCACTTACACTTTATGTTCTGTCTGGTTACTAGTTATGTTCTCTGAATTTTGGTTTCAAGCTACACGCTTCAGTGGACATTGGTTCAAACAATCCTTCATTGGCCCTATTTGGCAGAGCTATGGAAAAGTTATTATAGATTATAATTTAACAAATTATAACTTATTGCTGTGAACATAAGCTTTGGGATTATGAATTTAAGCAGCAGAGTAGTATTTGGTTGATAAGCTGTAAAATAACTTTTTGTTGTGTAATTATTTTTTTTGCCCTTATATAATATAAAAATGATTATTTTATCAATTTTTTTCGGCTTTAATTTTAAAAAAATTATTTCATTGATAAAAGTTAATATAATTAGTATTACAAAAATTATTATTTTCATTAATAGTATCAATTAGTATAAAATTATTTCATTTTTTCATTATAAATTAATTAGTGTCAATTAATGGTTTAATTAGCATCAATACTTTTTTTTTCTTTTTCTACATTTTATTTTCTCTTTATTTTCTTTTCTCTTATTTCTTTCTTCTTTTTTTTTTCTTCTCTTCTTTCTTTTTGCTAATTTTATTTAATTTATTAATTCATTACAATTAATATCCATGTATTTATATTAATGTTGTGATGTCATTACATATTATTTTTCTTTACATTAATTTCAATTAGTTATTTAATAGAAGTTATAATATTCATTTTTTTATTTCATTTAATATAAGTTATTTCATTTTGTATTTCATTGTTTTTTCAATTTTAATTTTTTTAAAAAAAAATTGATTTTGTTTTTATTAATTTTTTTCATTACAATTAATAATATAACAATTGTATTTTTTCATTAGTGGAAGTAAATTATATTTTTTTAATTGAAATAAAATTGTACAATTTATTTCTTTATTTAAATTGTGCAATTTATATCAATAATTGTGAAATAAAAGTTAATATAATTAGTATTACAAAAATTATTATTTTCATTAATAGTATCAATTAGTATAAAATTATTTCATTTTTTCATTATAAATTAATTAGTGAC